TGAAATAATATAACTTTTTCATTTTAGAATTGCAAATTTGATACCGTTTCTTGTACAATATAGAAAGATGTTCCTTGCTGTTCTCATATTATCATAATATTTAAAAATTCCTCAGCTGAAGTTTATTTTTGAAAAATTTCAGAAGATTTATGTTTATGATTCAGAAGATTTGTCATTATGCTATTTCCTAAAACGTTTAAGAAATACATCTAAACTTGGTCATGTCTTTATTTTGTTTTATTTCCATATTTTATTGTAAACCCACACATGTATAAACATCAAAGCTGTGCACACTGGCTGTTCACAAGAACTTCAAAGTAGAAAGACTAGAGCCCAGTTGACGTAGTAACAACGATGTGATTTGCAGAGGTTAATAACTGATGCTTCTGTACCTGCCCGGATGCTTCCCTGCCGGGCGGGCCTCCTCACTGGACGTGAGATTTCAGAGGCAGACCAACAATCCTCACCTTCGCTTCCACAGGTGTCCTTAAGAGCAGAAGAACACCCCCAGCATTTGGCTGATAAACTAAGTTTATAAAATTGGAATTTACATTGGTAATTTTATCTCTCATTGTAGTTACTATTATAAAGTTTACTAACCGACACTGAAACTTTTCAACAGTTTATCAGCAGTAATGGTTACACACGCACTCGCTCACACACACACACACACAGTTAATACGGCAAATTAAGAACAATGAAAGTCAATCAGATTGGTGACTCTGAGGGATTTCAGAAGCAGACTAAAAACCCTCCTTGCCTCCATTCCTGGATTAAGCTTAACCTGGACCTCTGGCCAGCACCTCCTGTGCTGGCCCTGCGGGGCCTGCTTCTGGGGACCCTCACTCTGCCTCTGGCGGGGCAGCCTTGCTTTGGGGGCAGCCTTAGTTATGCACCTGGACTTGCCCTCAGCTCCAATCCCTGGCTTTGCAGGACTGTTCAGTGACCTCACCTCCGCTGGGCCACCTGGGGCCCATCCTGAGGACTCTGGGTTTGAGACTGGTCACTGTTGGTGCCCGTCCCCCGCCCTCTGCGGGTGGAGGAACTCCAGGGGAAAGGAGCAAGAGCGGCGTGCATGGGAAGCAGCCCCTGGGAGAGCCTTGCTTTGAGGCTTTGCGAACTGAGAGGCACACCTGCACCTTTATCTCCACTCCTTTTTTTATTTTTTGCCTTATCATATTTGGCGTTTGTTACTTGCTGCCGATAGAGTCCTAACTAAATACTCCCTTAGCAAAGCTCCCCCACACCATTTCTTTTAATAATGAGCCACAGGCCAGAGATCCGTCTGTGTGCAAGCTACACACTTTCTCTATTTTTAACCCTCACCCAACGATATTTTCCACTGCTTTTCAGACAGTGCAAGGGGGGGAGAGGGACACATGGATTGGCGGCCTCCGGCGTGCCGCAGCTGGGCCGGGATGGAGCCTGCCGCGAGGAGTGTGCCCTCGGGACCCTGCCGTCCGGCGGCCGGCGCCCTAACCGCTGCGCAACCAGCCAGGGCCACACTTTCTTTTTTAAAGCAATGGCGTGTTCGTGGGACCCACGCTTGGTCTGTGCATGTAAGATGTGATGCAGGGCTTCGCGAACATCTCCCTACTGTCCTAGTGTGGGTGGTAATTTTGATGACATTAAATATAAACGGTTCAAAACTGTATATTAATTATGAGCTTCATGTCCTAGGGGATGTGACCTTGTGGACAGGGCCAGACTATGAATATGCCCCAGGAAAAGCGCTGAGACGCATCAACTGGGCGTTGGCTCAGCGGACAGGTGCACCTGTGCTCCCACGGATGCCGAGGGGGTCAGCCGGAAGGGAGGGGCTGCTCCCCGAAAGCTGAGGCCCAGGAGGTGCGGCGTGGGGCAGGCCGTGGGCCGGCAGCTTCAGCTGTGCTCGGGTGCGGGCGGCTAGCAGGCGGCGCGGGGGCTGCAGCCTGCACGGGAGTGAGCTCCCCGCTCCCC